AGCAAGCCTAGATCTACTCCTTGTGAACAGAAACGACTACAATGGTGATGCTAAAAAGATGGACAATGTTAAGAAATATCGGGAAGCGGTCGGCAGTTTTATTTACTTAGCTACATGTACTAGACCTGATTTAAGTTTTGTCATAAGTAAACTGTCACAGTATTTTGCAGAACCTACAAAGCAGCAGTGGGTCACAGTCAAACATGTGCTAAGATACCCGAAAAGTACCTCCAGTAAGGGATTGTGCTACAGGAAAAGCGAGGATGAGAAACTTGGAATACATGCATATAGTGATGCAGACTGGGCATCAGATTGTTGTGTGAGTCTCTAAAAACGGACCAGTAGTTTCATGGAAGACAAGAAAACAATCCACTGTCGCACTATCAACATGTGAGGCCGAATACATAGCACTAGCGGCCACTGTGCAGGAGTGTTTGTATCTGATGCATTTTCTAAGGTATCTTGATGGATGTGAACACACTTGTACAAAGGTTTATGAAGATAACCAAGGGACGACTGCAATAGCTAACAATCCCGTACAAAGACAACGTTGTAAACACATCGATATATGGTATCATTTTGTGAGATCAACCGTAAGGGATGGAATATTATGTCTGAGCTATTGTCCAACCGACCAAATGGTTGCAGATGTCATGACTAAACCCGTTACAACCTGTAAGCTTGTCAGATGTAACCACTTTATGTTTGGATCAGATTATTAATGTTTCTGAGAGACAATGGGACAACAAAACCTCAGAACAAGTGGGAGTGTTAAGTATTATGTTCTGATGTTAAGTGTGTTTGTATGTGTATATGAGGCTTGTTCTTGTTATGGTCCAGGAAAAACGGAAGTGACGCGTGTGTGTTACCCTTTGACCTGTGACATGAGGAAATAAAAGCGAGCTTCTGGCGAAAGATGGGTGTGTGAGCGCTACCCAGATGGGAAGGACTGGCCGTCTGAAGCCGAGCTCAAAAAGGGTGAATCTTGAGTCCGTGTGAGTTTTTATGAGTTCACCTCCATTGCTGCAACAGATTTACGTCTTGATTCCGTTGTGTGGAAGGTATCGGCTAACAGCTAAGCTAACGGAGGTAGCAACCTAGCTACAACCAGAGTGCACAACACCAGATCTTCCGAGTCAGAGATACGCCGGACTGACCGCTGGGTAAAACCGGGTGGAACACAGAGGTCTCCCGAGACCTCCACAAGCGGGCAGCCGCACAGCAGACAAGCGCCGCTGCGATCTGAGATGCGCAGAGCTGCCGCTGGGGAGAAAAAAGTGGAAAACATCGGTTTCCATCCGAGAGCTCCACAAGCCGGCAGCCCACACAGCAGACAGGAGCCGCGATCAGAGATGCGCCGAGCTGCGGGGAGGGGAGAACTGGTGGAAAACATCGATCTCCCGAGAGCTCCACAAGCCGATAGTCAGAACCCAGCTCCACCAACATGTTATACTTCAACCCATTTTCTAAAGTGCAGCATTATGTTAAATGCACTGGGTTTTACCCTATTACATTTAAATTTCATGGTTAAACAGTACATGTTAACTCCTTTCAATCTGAATTAAATGACATTTATAAGGAAAAAGCTAAAGGCGCATTCATAAGATCAAGACTAAAATGGTTGAAAGAAGGAGAGAAAAACAGTAAATATATTTTTTACGTTGAAAAAAGAAACATTGAAAGAAGTACCCTAACTAAATTAAAAATAGAAAATGCCATAACAACAGACTATAATACTATATCCAAATTTGTGTCCAAATATTATGCTAATTTGTACAAAATGGAAACATGTTCTGATTCATCCAATATATTTAATTTGCTTGAAGATGTCAAAAAAGCAAGCACCACTCTTAGAGAAGAGTGTGACGAACCATTATCTACTGAGGAAGTAAAATGGGGAATTAAAAATCTTAAACTCAACAAATCACCTGGAAATGATGGCCTCACAGGTGAATTTTACCAAACGTTTACTGTAGAAACCTCAAAATTCCTTTTGGCTGTATATAGTGAATCCCTAAATAATGAAGAATTACCTCACTCCTTGAAACAAGGTCTAATAACATTAATCCCAAAACCGAATAAAGATGCTCTTCTAATTGATAATTGGCGTGGCATGACATTACTAAACAACGATTACAAAATTCTTGCTTCATAGTCAAACGGCCAAAATATGGAATTAATGACATTATCCATGAAGCCCAAAAAGGCTTCTTACCTGGACGTCATATTTCTAACAATATTAGATTACTTTTGGAACTGATTAATTATAATTATTTACTCTCTGGGGACCCAGTTATTCTCTTTTTAGACTTTCAAAAGGCATTTGACACAATTAACCATGAATTTATATTTGATTCTTTAACCTTCTTAAACTTTGGTAATTTTTTCATCAAAGCAGTGAAAACACTTTATAGAAACAACAATAGCTCAGTCAAACTCATGTGTGGCACATCTCAAAGATTTAACGTAGAAAAAGGGGTGCGCCAGGGATGCCCAGCCTCCCCTTATATCTTCTTGCTAGTAGCCCAAATATTAAACTATTTAATACTACAATCACCTTTGAAGGGAATCCAAATTTTTTGACAAAGAAATCAAGATTTCGCAACTAGCAGACCACACTACTTTGTTTCTTTAAAATATTGAACAAATACCCACAGCTTTATCTACAAATTTTCAAAAATATCAGGATTAAATCTAAATATAAAAACATGTGAAATTCAACCCCTAAAGGACAGCTGCCAATCTGAAACGTGTAACATTCCTATTAAAAACATAGTAACTTATTTAGGCATTAAGATATCAAAAAATAACAGAGAAACTCCAGACTTAAATATTCTCCCAGTGACTCAGGCTATTAAAACTAAGTTTAATTGTTGGGCCTCCAGAGATTTATCCATATAAGGTAGAGTTCTGCTAAGCAAGGCAGAGGGAATGTCTAGAGCAGCCTATGTTTTTTCAATCTTGGATATTCCCAAATCTATTTGCTCCCAACTCGATAAAATTCTTTATAATTTTATATGGAAAAACAAGCCTGACAAGGTAAAAAGATCTGTTCTCTCAAATCCAGTAGCTGAAGGGGGGCTTAATGTACTGACCTTTACCTCATTTAACCAAATTATAAAAATCAGTTGGATTAAAAGATTCATTAAAAGCCCTAATAGCATGTGGAATATTATCCCAAAGAATCTATTTAATGCTTTTGGTGGACTTAACTTTCTGTTGATATGTCCTTTCTCAGTAGGAAAACTCCCAGTTAAATTAAGTAATTTTCATAAACAAGCTTTATTATGTTGGAATCTTATCTTTAAACACAACTTCTCACCTCACAATTGTATTATTTGGAACAATACATATATTGTAAACAAAAATAAAACACTCTTTCTACACAATTGGTCATTAAATAATGTAAACACTGTGAATAATCTACTAAATACTACTGGCGAAACATTATCCCACAAAGACTTCTTAGAAAAACATAATATTAATACTTCACAAGAAGAGTATAACATGGTAATTAAATCCATCCCTGCTTGTATTTTCTTTTTAGCACAGACCATACAATCAAACATTATCTTGTCTGCAGCAGTCAGACCTCCAACTATCTCTGGGATTCCAATCACAGATAAGAAATGTAATAATTCTGTTATCAGAAAAGTAATTGATCCTTTCTCAACCCCGATATGTAAACATCGATGGACTTTGATGAATACAAAACTCTGGAACAGGATCTTTCTGCTACCTCACCAATATGTTATTGTGAATAAGATAAAAGAAGTTTTATTCAAAATTGTTCATAGATATTACCCGTCAAAAGCAAACATCTGTATTTTTTTCCAACATTTTCTGACATCTGTACTTTTTGTGGTTGTAAGGGAGAAACTATTGAACATGTTTTTGTTGATTGCTTTCATGTAACTTTGTTTTGGTTCCATTTACAAAGATACATTTCCAAAAAGTTACAAAAAATATTTCTTTAAGCAAATATGAAATACTTCTCATTGTTACAAACCCTCATCTATCATCCAATGAAAAATACATCATTAACTTAGTCATTATTTTAGCAAAATATTATTTACATAAAATGATTTTTCAGAAAAGTATCCCCTCCTTCTATAATTTCAGAATTGCAGACCTTATGAAATATTGGAACAGCATTGAAAAATTAAAAAAGAAGAACAACAAACTAACAAAGACCATGAACTTATTTCATCATTTCAACTTAGACACAGCAGACCCCTAAGTGTTAAGTTATTTATGTTTTCGTCAGTTTTTTGTTTATTTCTTGTGTTTTTGTTTAATAGTTTCCTAATGTTGCATATATGTTATTGCAATTGTAAACAACTGTAAAATGTGATCCATGGGTATATTGAATGTATTTTTTGAATGTATTGACAATAAGTTAATAAAACCTGTAACACACACACACACACACACACACACACACACACACACACACACACACACACACACACACACACACACACACACACACACACACACACACACACACACACACACACTAAATCTTGGACCGGATGTGTAACAGGACACCACAGAACAGCACTATGTTCTCTGGCGTCCTGGTGCATGGTGGGGAGAAGTCATCCGCCCACCTCTAAACGTTTGACCCCGCCCACATTTAGCCCCGCCCCGATCTCCGGGATGCAGTCAGGTGTACTTGGAGAAGTCTGACGTGTATCCAGACCTGCAGACCCAGAGACCACAGATTCAGACATGCCCCCCACCCCCACTTTTTCCAAAGTCAAGTTTTGACCCCTGCACTTTTTGCCGTCCAAAACAATATTACGCTCTAATAAATAGACACTGGTTGAGCTCTAGGATCAAGTGGAAAACGACCGTTTGTGTTGAAGCCTGTTTCCCTTTAGAACATACTGAAAAGAATCTGCAGTTAGTCTTGAATCTGCAGTTGCAGTTACTAGTTAGAGTTCACTTTCTCAAAAACAGTACAAGCCTGAATCTGCAGTCGACCTGAAACTGCGGTCAGGTCACAGTTGGGGCCCCCTGCTCCCACTGCAATGCGCATGCTCCTGTTGAGCGTTTCGAGTCCAATACGGCGGCGCTGCTCGGAGTTGTTTAATTTTGATTTCCAGTTTAAGTTTTTTCTTTCTCTAGCAGACACGATGGCGGGCACTGCGCTGAAGCGGCTCATGGCCGAATATAAACGTGAGTAACGTTTTGTAATCGCTAACCAACACTGATAGCCATTAGCATTAGCAGCTAGGCTAATAAGCGGCTGTGTGGAGTTCCGCTGCACCAAACTCCATGATATAATCGGTCTCTTTTAATCTTTACTTTCTTTATGAGGTGTCTTACACTAGAAGTCCGTTAAAAAGCAAATCACCTGGGCAGTTTGAGTGACTCGGCATATGTCGTGCTGCTAGTATAATTTCTCGAGAGATTATTTAATCTGTTATCAATCTCGTCCAGAAAAAGCTTCTAGTGGGATTGACGTTCTGATGAGGACCAGGACCTGGTAGCTGTGTGAGAGTCAGGAGTTTAATACACGAGTAAACGGAAGGAATCAGTTCAGAAGTAGAGGTGTTCGGTTCTGTAGGTCTCACTGATGATTCAGTTTACGGATGAACTGTCTGGGTAATGAGTGAATTACGGTTGAATACGGGCCTGCCTCAGTGACAGACAGCACAAATCCCCCAGACTCAAGGCAAAGGTAGAGTTTTTGAAGCATCTGATCTCTGACACAAAACAAGGTGGACACATAAGAATGGCCCTCAAACCCTCGGGATGTGTGAATTTTATTTAGGCAGCACTTATCACAAAAAGAAGTAGTTTGGATAGTATAAGAGTCTTCAGCTGCTTGTGAAATGTGCCCAGACTGGTGATACGATGTGAACCTAAAGGAAGTTAATTCCAAAGTGGAACAGACTGGAAAGTCCAGGGGGCTCATTTATCAACCATACTTATGCACATATCCTGCCCTGCCTCCAACATGCCTCCATCCAAAAGGCCAGGTTATCCAGAGTTATCTCTGTAGTTATGCTGCTATAGGCTTAGACTGCTGGAGGACAGACTGACCACTTTCCACACTCGACTACTTCTCACCCTATCTCTAAGGGAGAGCCCAGCCACCCTGCAGAGAAAACTATTTTCAGCTGCTTGCATCTGCAATCTCATTCTTCAGTCACTACCCAAAGCTTGTGACCGTAGGTGAGGGTAGGAACATAGATCGACCGGTTAATTGAGAGTTTTGCCTTCTGGCTCAGCTCTCTCTTCACCACGACAGATCGGTACAACGTTCACAGTGCTGCAGTCGCAGCACCAATCTGCCTGTCGATCTCGCGCTCCATCTTTCCCTCACTCGTGAACAAGACTCCAAACTCCTCCACTTGGGGCAGGACTTCATCCCTGACCTGGAGAAGGCATTCTACCCTTTTCTGACTCAAGACCATGGTCTCAGATTTAGAGGAGCTGATTCTCATCCCAGCTGCTTCACAGTCGGCTGCAAACTACTCTATTGAGAGCTGGAGATCACTTTCTGATGACGCCAGCAGGACCACACCGTCTGTAAAAAGCAGAGGCACCCCTGCTCGGCGCCTCTCAGTTGGGGCAACTCCAGAGTGGTAGCGTGTCCAGCCCCTTTCAAGGAAACTGGTTCCTGAGCCAGAGCCATGTGTTGAGGTGAGTCCGACTATATCTGCACAAAACCTCTCAACCTCACACACCAAATCAGGCTCCTCCCCCACCAGAGAGGTGACATTCCACGTACCGAGAGCCAGCTTTTGTAGCTGAGGATCAAACCGCCAAGGTCCTTGCCTTCAGCCACCACCGTTCACACATTGCACCCAACCCCTTTCACCCCTCCCACAAGTGGTGAGCCAATGGGAATGGGGACCCACATTTCCTCTTTGATCAACCAGCCTCCATGGGTGAAAGCCCGGCCACCAGGCGCTCACCGGCATGCCCCATCTCCAGGCCTGGCTCTAGAGGTGTGCCCTGGTGACCCGCGTCCGGGTGAGGGAACACTTTTTCCGTTTATAGTATTCATCATAAGAGGTCTATGGGCTGCTCTTTGTCTGATCCCTCACCTAGGACCTGTTTACTGCGGGTGACCCTACCAGAGGCATAAAGCCTCAGACAACATAGCTCCTAGGATCACTGGGACACTCAAACCCCTCCACCACGGTAAGGTGGCAGCCCAGGGAGGGGTTCTTAATAGTTTTTAGGTAATATTTTATTTTATTATTTTATTTTTTCTTTTGTTGTGAAACGCCTCGTGATTCTGCTTGAGATGCGTTAGATAAAAGATTGTTTCCATAATATTATGAAGGATCTGTCAGAGCTCCTCTCTGGAGGAAACGCTTCTCCTTGAGACGCTGATAGCAGATCCGTCTGGAGCGATGCTGGGATCTGGGGCCCTTTGTGGAGCGACAGATAAACCGCACAAGTCCGATTCCAGTCCATGTTCTATTTTACATCTACGAGAACCTCCTCTGCTCCCCAATCACACACGTGTTGTCACGGTAAACCACACTGAAAGATAGCTAAGAGGCTGCACTCAGACATTCCCTAATAAAACTAACTCCATCCAGAACGATTCCTTAAATGAAAAATGTAAATGAGAACCCGCTACTCTATGATTAATCATATTAAAGTTTTTATTGATTCCTGACAGGAACCTCTCCTCTGTCCAGACCGCGTTTATAACCTCTGCTACTTGTTTGATTCGTTTGTATTTCGGCAGCGAGTGTCTCAATCTCGCAACAAAGTTTTTTTCTTTTCTGGGTAGAACGCAGGAATCCCCTCAAATGCTGAGGACGTAGCATGACCAGATATGGGTAATGAGGGCCTTTCTGTATGTAAATGACTGAGAACGGACACGAGCACCTGAGTACGCACAGGTGGGATTTATCACCAGACGAGTGCGGAGGAACGTGCGTGCGAGAGGTCACTGCACGTTTCATAAAACAGGATTTTGACTGAACATTCTAAATTTCATTCAAATGAAGGAATTTAGGAATATTTCTTCTAAAGTTTGATGAACGAGGCACCCGGGCCATCATTCATCAACTTTACCTATGAACAATTTTAGACATTGTAACTTAGTTTAATTTTGTTTTGACATTTTATTTTTAGATGTCTCTTTATTGTGAAAAGGTTCCAGAGAGGTTGTGGTACTTTACCTTCAGGCTTCTTATTCCAACATTATGTATTGAAAGACCATGTTCACTTGTTGCAGAACACATCTGCAGTGGTCTCTACCTGTCTAGAATGCCTTGTGAGAGGATCTCTGTGGGAAAAGCTCGGGGGTCTCATTTATCAAACATGGCGTAGAATCCTTACTAAAACCGTACTTAAGCTCAGCAAAAAAAATGTACGTACGCCAAGTAGGTTTGTGATCTATCAAACATGGAGTACACACAGCTGCACGCAATCTCCGCTTCATAAATCGGAGACTAATGAGAATGTTTCTCAGCTGCATTTTAGTCACATCCCGCCTTCATCAAAGTGCCTTGTGGATCTCATCCATATACATAAGCAGCGCTCTGCCAACGACATGGCGACCGTAGATCAAGGCAGACCAAGGAAGCGCAATTTCACAGAAGCAGAAGTTGAGGTACCTGTGGGTGAGGTGGAGAAATGAAAGGAAGTGCTTTTGCAAAACAAATCAGAGAAAATCCACAGAGTGGCACAGCGTTGCTGAAGCCGTCAATGCTGTGAATTCCTCAGAGAGATCTGTGGCAGATATAAAAAAATGGTCCAATCGGGATTCAATCCCCAGACTCCAAGGTGAAAGTCACGCACGCTAACCAGTCAGCCAAACGGAGATCTCCCTTGTCCAAGTAGCCAGGGCGCATGATCAATCGGGTTACAGTGACAGGACACACACGCCGTCACAGACGCATGACATTCTGTCTCAATCTGTCCCCCTGCTGATATTCTGTATTCTGCGCTTCAGGCTGTGTGTGTGTGTGTGTGTGTAGGGGGGTCTTGTTCTGTGTGAAAACGAAGCGGTACAAGTGATAATGCTGCAGGATTTCATAATTTTATCCTTCTCGCAGCACTGCAGGTGCTCTCCATGTCCAAATGTACGTAAGCCAGGTCCTTAATCAACTTAAAGTTGTGCACATTTTTCTGCTAAGTTTTCTTTCATGAATCCCAAAGTTTGCGTGGGAAGTTGCTTATGCAGTTTTCTGACCCTGTTTTGTACGTAAGCAAGCTTGATAAATGAGGCCCCAGGTGCTCCTGTTTCAGGAACCAGGAATTAGTTGGAGGTAGGGCTGTAGCGAAGCCTCGACGACGTCGACGGCTCGATTCTAAAAATTTGTCGACGTCAGAATCGGAAGTCGACGCACCGCGCCCACTTGTTGCATCCCCAGGAGTTTGTAAATAGAGGAGGAATCTGCCTGTTTTTCCTCTAGTTCGCCCTCTTCTCCGCCTTCACTAACATCTCCACCAAATACCAAAGACCCGGAACGATGTCCGTCCACTACTAGATTATTTTCCTGTTTTGCCCGCCTTCGTCTCCCGGCAACGGACAACAACTTCCGGGGTCAGATGCGCTGCTTCGTCTCTACCGCAGATGTAGAAAATCATCGGGAGCGTTTCTCACCTTCATAAAGGAGCTTCTTTCAGACATTAGGAGAGCTGTTTTGGTGCTAGCAGTCTCTCCTTCGTGCTGGTCTGTTTGCTGCTGGGTGTTTTTGGTTTATTTAAACTTGGTAACTTGAATTTAACGTTGGTAAAGCTACTGTTAGCATCTTCGCTAACAGCTTCTTGCATTTGGATAAGCTGTTACGTTTTGGTTTAGAGTTCATCTTTTTTGTGGTTATTTAGAGTGTCGTGGGTTTTCGGTTTAGTTTAAAATATCACCGTGAGTTTGGTTTAACTGCCCAGTTTAGAGTTTGGACCTTTGGAGATCCTTATTTTGGTCCAGAACCCTGTAATCTTTGCCCAGTGGGACATCCCTAGTTATTTGTACTTTTGTTTTAATTCCCCACAGGCAGAATTAGTTTTATTATTCCCAACCTGTGGATGGAAAGATTTATGTTTTTGTGTTGTTGTAAATAAACCTGATCATCATTTTAACTTTTAAATCCCGTTATTGTCCCTTCCTTTTTGCACACGAGCCAAACTCCCCAGGAAGAGTCGTAACACCACTCGCCTCACGCTCATAAGTGACCAAAACAAAGCAGTATGGAGACACTCCATCTCCAACCACCTCTCAGGCAGCAGCCTGCACTCCCAAGTTCTACACGTCACCAGAACATAACCAACCAACACAATAAAAGCAGTGTTATACAAAATGGAAGGCCTGTAGTGTTTATTCTCTTACAGTAACAATTTATCAATTTTTTTGAGGAATTTATTTGAGATTTTCTGGTTCTTGTTAATTGTGCAATAGAAAAATAATCATTAGATTAATTTTCTAAATAGTCATTAGAATAGTCGACTATTCGATAAAATAATCGTCAGAATAATCGTTTTAAAAATAATCGTTTACCCCCAGCCCTAGTTGGAGGAGAGGGGAGCAGAAAAGAGCAGAATTTGGAGTCTTTCTTGGTTTTAATTCCTGATATTCGGACATCTCCCCTCTAATCGGCTGGCTTCTCAGTGAATTTGCTCATGCGGGACACTGGCCTGCAAGTTGCAAAGCAGCAGGAGACAGCCGTTTTTAACTGTCGTTAGGGCTGCAACAACGAATCGATAAATTCGATGAAAATCGATTACTAAAAGCGTTGGCAACGAATTGCGTCATCGATTCGTTGTGTCGCACAACTCTTCCAAAAGCGCCCCCCCCCCCCCTCCCGAATCCCGTCCGCCGTTGCGCGCAGACCAGAGCAAGTCAGATCAGCACGAGGGAGAGCCGCAGATCAGCGCGAGGGAGAGACGCAGATCAGCGCGAGTGAGAGCCGGCAGATCAGCGCGAGGGAGAGCCGCAGATCAGCGCGAGGGAGAGCCGCAGATCAGCGCGAGGGAGAGCCGCAGATCAGCGCAAGGGAGAGCCGCAGATCAGCGCGAGGGAGAGCCGGCAGACTTGCGCTGCTGCGAACCGGTTCCGCATTGTTGCACAGCGATCCAGGCAGCTGCTTCCAGCGCACGGTCCATTCTCAAAGTGGCGCAACCAAAAAACTATAATTAGCACACGATCGTTCTTGTCTGCACATATTCTCTATTTTCTGTCTTATTTGTGCCTGAAGCTCGCTACTGCGGAGCTCATCACCTGTGCTGTGGTGATGTCACCTCACGCAGCATCGAAAACGCGCTCTGTCCTTTTCGGTCAGGAGATTATGGCGTTTAAAGCGTGCCACAACCCGTGCACGCGCATTGGGTCCACAGCGCGCGTGTGAACGGGACTCGCGAGCGGAAATATACATGGCGAGAGGTCATTTGTGCACTGAGAGGGAGCAAACTGTGTCTGTGAGCGCACAAGGATGTGCACAAGTGACAAACCTGCGTGTGCGCGTTGTCAACGAGCACACGGCAGAGGAAAACGTGCGCGCGCGGCAGCCTCTGTGCGCGCTCGGCAGCCTCTCTGCGCGCTCGGTTTCTGACTCCTGCTCGCTCGGCTGTAAGGGTTTTGGCACTCTGGAGGCGTGGCCTGTGGCAGATCTTCTCTGTCCTCTAATTGGTTAGTGTACCCCGCACTTTACCCTCTACCTATCTATACATATTAATTTAGTTCTTACAAAAAATGGGTCCCAACATGGTTTGTGTGGCGTTGCCATAGTGTAACGTCATAGGCACAGATCCCCTGTCCTCTTGTTTGGAAATGGAAATATGATCACCCTACATTAAACAAACTGTCCACCCGGGCTTTTGCGCTTCACAGAGACGCTTCGCTGCCTACGACTGAATGTCAGTTGAGAGTCAGTCTCATGCAGACTGACGAATGAAGAGAGGGCCTCAAGTTAAGACCCTTTCCTCATTGGTCAGTCCACACGAGGTGGGTCAAAGGTTACTCTGGGCGGGTTACGTGTTGTCAGGCATTCAAGTATTGAGTATATTTACTGCATATCACAGTAAAATATTCTGTATGTGACCACATTATGGTGATCCTTGGGTCGTGATGATGGAGCCCTTGAATATTGTTGCCCAGGGTACAACAAAGTGTTAATCTGGCCCTGGTTCCGCCGTCACATTCCCGCAGAAACTGGTTGATCACACCGGGGCCAGACTACTAGCATGTGGTTTTACAACCACAATGTCCTCAGAAGCAAAAACGCTTTTAAAAGGGAGGGAGGAGTCCTAACTGTTGCTGCAGGCGTGTTGTGTGAGAGTGCAGTTATATACTGGTTAATATATTTTTGGGTTCAGTTGCTTTCATGTGGCCTAATGTGAGTCTATTTGGGATCATTGGAATGATCAGCAGCATTTCTTGATGTGACTTTATGGCAGTTGCCCAGGGCATCATCGCAAGGAGGATGGCATTCATTTACTTTTGTTTTATTTGGTATTTTTTCAGTCATTTTTGGAAATAGTGATCAATTTTGATTAATTCACAGCCTATGTTTAATTACATTTAAAATATATGTCAACAGATGAGATCAAACAAAACAGATGAGAATTGCCCTTAAGCTGTTTAACTTGGACCAAGCATTTTAGGTCACAGATAGATGTAGCTTAGGGTCTCTGTCTATACACCTTATAAGACAATTTAGGTGATGGCATGTTGTTTTTCTGCTATTGAACTGTTTTCTAATAATGTTGTGTTAAATAAAGTGAAGGAAGGAGAGAAATAACGTTTCCCTAGCAGTTTTTAAAAATTTCCCCATGTAATCCGATTAATCGATTAATCGTGTCGAGACCCCATCCGATTAATCGATTATCCAAATAATCGTTTGTTGCAGCCCTAACTGTCGTCCACCCCCACCTCCCCACACACACACAAAAATATTAAAAGAAATGATGAAATGGGATATGCGCCCCTGCCCACAATCGATTCAAAACAAGATTGCCTGCATATTCTCTGTTTCCGTTTGCTAGAAAACACCTTAATAGGGGCGGGTACAAGTCGCTAGGCGCATGCGTGATGATGTTTAAAATGGTGGCGCCCGTAGAGGAAACCGGAAGGAAGTCTGCTCTGCGATTGGTGGCTTACAGTGAATAGTGGGGACAGTTTCTAAAAAAAACATGCCCCAGAGAGCCAAGAAACACCTATGATTGGTGAAAATGCACCAGCTTCCAGAGGGTTCCACCCCTGGGCACCCACAGGGGCATTGTGGGTGCCCAGGGGCACATAAAGGAGTCAGGTTCCATCTAAAGGTCAGTAAAATGTTTGTCTTTTGTTTCAGAACTCACTCTGAACCCACCTGAAGGCATTGTTGCAGGTGAGACTCCGCCTCCTCAGTTTCACTTTTTCATCAGCTGTACTCATCAGGACCAAAGCACAGTTCTAAGCCATACTTCACCCTGGTTATTAGGTTTCAGCCTTTGTTTTTCCTCCCAGTTCCTGTTCTAGACTAACGTTCTATGACCTACTGAAGGCTGGATGAGTGTTGAGCAACCGGTTCTGGGTACAGTCGGGTTTTAACGCTAGACCGGTCTGGATGGGTTCGTTAGTCCCTAAGAACGATTAGAAATGTTGGTGGTGCGAGTAATAATCCTGGTTTCATGGTTATCGTGGGTATTTTATGTTTTCATATCTGTGTAAATCACAAACACATCCTATAAAGGCTTTGAGCATCAGATGTTTATTGCTGCTTAGAAAAATTATTTTTAAATCTAAATAATCTGTCACTTCTAAATGCTTTTAGAATACCCTTATTTAAATTGACCTCTTAGCCTGTTTAGCACTATTCAGTTAGAACGCTCAGTGTTTCCATGGCAACACCGAGAGTCCATGTCGGTCATGTGACTAGTGCTGCGCGAATAGTCGACCTAACCGATGACGTTGACTATGAAATATTGTCTATGTGATTTTTTGCCGTCGGCGCATCCATTTTAAACAAACCAAATAATTTTCATCCATACCAGTAGATGGCGCTGCGCACTTCACCCATGAACCTGCCTTCAGGCGGCGGCTTTTCTTCCCATCTGTTTTACAAGAAAACAAAACTATCATGGCGGAAAGTGAAGACGGTGCCGAGGCGGTCAGTAAAAGTTTATTTAGGCCAAAGGGCTCAAAGGTATGGAAATATTTTAGGCAACCAGATAACAAACGAGTAGTTTTGTACTCTGTAAGGCTTCTTTGGCCCACCACAGCAGCACCACCGCAGTGCACGGACACCTGAAAAGGAGGCATACTGGAGCAATTCAGGAGCCACCGGAAAAATCCAAACCACCACCGTAAGTATTATTTTTAAACTTTCTATGCTTGCTTACCACATGTTTCTGAAAGGAAGCATACGTGTGGTCATTTAAAGTTATATGTAGATTTTGTTTATAGTTGTTATTTTTAGAAACTGGTAAAGAACTGTTCTTTATTTTATATTTGAAAAACGAGTCTTAAACGGTAAAGAATGCAAACTTCACGGACCTACTTCTTATTATATGTTCTCGTTTTAAAATATTTGATGTGCTAGATAATATTTTTGGTTAATAAGTTGTTAAAAATACAAACAGGTAAAATAATAAAACAATCCAAAATGCACATATGTATTAGATTTAAACAAATTGTTTGATTCAGATCAAATCCCAATTCGTTTATTGTTTTCTTATCCTTTCTCCTAGTCATCGTCAAAGCCAAGTCACAGAATTCCTTCAACACAGGCCGTCTCACCTCAGCATGCAGCAGCTTTCACTGACAGCATATTGAAGATGATTGTTAGACATGAGGCCGCTCAGTACAGTGGATGACGATGGTTTTGGTGCCATGATAAAAACATTACAACCTGGCTACATTCTCCCTAAAAGAACGTGCTTCACCAACACGATGGAACAGAAATATTCCGAGGAGCTACAAAAGGGAAAAACTGCACTTTCTTCTGGCACTTCCACGATCAGCTTAGCAACCGACGCCTGGACGAGTGTTTCCACAGAGGCTTACTTGGGCATAGCATGCCATTTCACCAGTGACAAATGGGAGCTCATGAGCTAGAGTTTGACAACAATGCCACTTGAAGACAGACACACTGCAGAGAATATTGCGTACTGGATTGAAGCTGCACTTGAAAAGTTTGAAATACAGGCCATCGTACATGACAGTGCAGCTAATGCAGTTGCAGCTCTGAAGCTTTTAGAAGAAAAGCATGGAATATCATCTGTCCGGTGTGCTGGCCACACATTGCAGCCGGCAGTAAACCGTGCTCTAAAGCTTCCACAAATCCAAAAAGCAATTGGGGCTGCAAGATCTCAAAAAGAGAGAGGCTGCCAGCACAAGTCTCAAAGCAAAACAAAAACAAATGGGCAAACCTGAACACAAGCTCATTCAAGACGTTAGTGTTCGATGGAATAGCTCATACCACATGATCAGTCGCCTACTCGAGCAGAGATGGCCCATCACAGCATGTCTGTCTGACCCAGAAGTGACACACAGAAAAAAGCATTACCTTGACCTCAAAGCTGATCAGTGGAGCCTGCTGGAAGAGTTGGAACAAGCTCTCAAACCATTTGAATGGGCCACTGTTTACCTAAGTGGGGCATCATATGTGACACTATCTTCTCTACCATCCCTAATTAAAGGAGTAGCTAAGTCCACACAGACTTCAGCTTTTGACAGTGCTGCTGTGCAAGCATTTCAGGCAGCTGCAGCTGAAGAAATCTCCAAAAGGTGGGATGCTGAGATGACCTACAAGGATGATGCTTCAAATACAAGCTTAATAGCAGCTTCCCTGGATCCCAGGTTTCGCAAACTTACATTCTTATCTACAGATGGAAATGTGAGACTGCAGGCTAAAATCCAAGATCTTGCACACAGAGAAAGGGAAGGTGGTGGAGAAGTCTCAGCAGCAGCACACTTTGGAGGTTCAAGCAACCACAGAAGAGAGGACAAGTGTGCCCGTCTCTTTACTGGACAAATTGCTTGGTTCAGACTGACACATCCAGCATGAATGACAGTAGTGATGAAACAGATGAAAGTGGGTTTGTGAGAGAAGAAATACTCCGATACTTTCAGGAACACACCTCCCCCAAAAGCACAAATCCTCTGCAGTGGTGGAAATCAAATGAAGCAAGGTTTCCTTCCCTAGCTTCCCTTGCAAAGTCCTACTTGTGTGCACCTGCCACTTCAGCTCCTTCTGAGCGTCTCTTTTCCTCAGCTGAAAACATTGTCTCAAAGAAAAGAGCCAGTCTGAGTCCAGAACATGTGGACATGTTAACATTTTTGCACTACAACACTGAAGTTTAACCTCATTCAACACAAAATAACACCTGTAAAAAAAATGCAGTTCGAATTAGGGCTGAAACGATTCCTCGAGTACCTCGAATAATTCGAGTACAAAAAATCCTCGAGTCAAATTCTCTGCCTCGAGGATTTGTTTAATTCATATTTAATTAATTCATGGCTTTGCAAACGCACGGGGTCATGTTTCACCCGGACCGAAATAAGTGACGCACATACACACTGGACTGCACACGGGAGTAGCGAATGTACCTTAACTTTCTCTTAAGCCATGGCGGACAACTTGAACCCCGGTGGAGTGCGAAAAAGACAGAAAATGTAAAAGGTGTGTGGAACCATTTTTCACGTCGTAAGGTGGAAAACGTAGTCCAGTATGAATACTGTAAAATGGATTTAGCCTACCACAACACCACATCCTCGATGCTGCAGCACCTGTAAATGTCACTTCTGCAAGCGGACTCGGAGCCTCTACAAGATAATGCATTTTAGCCTGTATTTCTATATATTCTGCAGACACTGTGCGACTTTTTCGTTTGTAGCACTCAGTTTCAGCTCACACCGTACATCTGGTAGCAACACGTCGGACTTAAAATGTGCTAAAAAATAGCAGTTTTTACACAATATGTCAGACTTTTTATTGTGTTGTTATTGATATTTGTTTTCCCTCGGGATTGCTGCAGGAGGACACGGGTATTTATGAGTGGCGGAGGAAAACGAAAGAAAGTAAATAAATGTTTTGTGATCAGTATAATTTGCCAAAACCACAGCAAACATGCTTTCTCGACAATCCTTGTTATTGTGAGAGAAAAAAAGTGTAGAAATTAAAACGGACGTGTGTTAATAAGGAAACAGGGGCGAGCTGTTTGCGCCGTGAGCGGTTCTGGTTCTGTTTGGGCCGCAGCCGCTCGCAGCGCTACTTCAACAGTTATCCTCCTAGTTTCTGTCTGGCTTGCAGGCTAGCAGATTCTCGCATGAGGGGAAAATCGGCTCAGGTTGTTTACTTATTTTTTGCACACGCATTTGTTTACTGTGAAGTAAAGTTGAAGTGCTGAAGTTTTGCAAACTTAATTTTGAATAAAACTTGAAGAATAACTGGCAATTGCTCATTTTAAGAGGTCTTTCATATTTTATAACATGCTATTTTATATAATGGTTTCCAAACACAAAAGGGTAATTTATTAGAGTACTCGATTAATTGAAAAAAAGATTCGATAGAGTACTCGATTACAAAAATATTCGATAGCTGCAGCCCTAGTTCAAATTCAACTTACCTTTCAAAGTTCTTTAAAATGTAAATTGGCACTACTGAGCCATTAAGTCCAGTTTTGTTCTTGTTCTCAGGATGGACTTGTTTCAATTTTGTCCTAATACTTCAGAAAAAATTTACTATAAAAAGGAATGACTGATGACACATCTAGGTAACCTGTTGTACTGGTGTAGTAAAAACTACTGCACATGTTTAGTACAAATGGATGGCAACAATGTTTTATTAATGCTAAAATGGTGTCTTTGTTTACTTTTTGTTCAGTCTCAAGTTAAAGCTTGAATTTGGTCAATGAACCTTTTGATATTTTTCTATTTACATAAAAGGTAAATAGGATTTTGTTGGAATTGGCACTTTATTTACAGGTGTGATTTTTATTTACAAGGTTGTACAAGAATGTTTTGAGAAGTAAATGTTTTAAGTTTGTTGAAAATAAAATGACCTGAAACTAAATTGTTTTTTTTTTCTTCTTAAACAAAAGTAATCGTTTAGACTAATCGATTAGTCGGTAGAATAATCGAAATGAAATTAGTTGTTAGTGGCAGCCCTACATGTGACCCTCAAGTAGGGCTGGGCGATATGGCAAAAATAAAATATCACGATTTTTCCAATATTTTATCACGATTTCGATTTTATCACGATTTTTTATCCATGAATAGCATAACTTCAGTTGCGTATTAAAGAAGAGAAACATTGAATAAATAAACATTTATTCATATTAGGGATAATCAGCACAGTGCTAACACACATATTTTAAACTCACACCAGAGATGATAAAAGCCCTG